GGTGTTTAAATCCTTAGATTCAATTATAGCAGTGATTTTAGCATCAAAAGAGGAAGGCAAGCATTATAAGATTTTGTTTACTTTTTCATTGTTTGAAAGTTCTCTTCCTATGGAATGCAAAGAAGTTATAATTTGAGTAAACCGTGTATACATATCAGAAATTGATTCAGAAGGTATCATATAAAAAAGTTCGTAGTCATGCAAGAGAATATTCAAACGAGATTATTTCACTTCATTGGTTCCTTCATAAGTAATGCACAATTTATCCCAATTCTTTTTTCCAGTAGAGCAAGTAGAAACACTTATGTAATCCTTAGACTTTAAAGCACAGAAAAAAAATAATTCAAATACTTCGCATTCAATTGAGCTAAATCTCTTTCATCAGTAGTCCATTCAGTAAAAGCAACTTTAGTTTTAATTCCGTTAATTTCATGAGTAGGTGGAGAATATCCTCATTAATAAGCATCCACATGCGATAGTCAGTTGATTGCAAAAAAGTAGTTATGCGAGTTTTCTAAAAATCAAAAGGAAGGTTGTCAAACAAGGGAGGTCGTGTAATAAAATATCCTTCAGTTGTATTACGATTCCCAAAGTTAGCCATGGATCAAAATTCAAAAAGTTTTTAAACTTAGTTTTTATGAATCCCGCTTTGATACCACTTGAAAGTTTGTTAGGGATGTTAGGCCATATAAATTAGACCCGAGGCTAACTAAAAAGGGGGGTGAATTAGTATTTTTAAAAAAAATTCTTTAAAATCAAGAGAACAAATATCACAAACCAAAATCACCACGAAAAAAATAAATGCAGAAAAATTAAAGTGCGGAAGCAGTAAAAAGAACACAAAGGTTTATAGTGGTTCGGTCAACTTGACCTACGTCCACTCCCCGGAGGCGCCCTCAGAGTATTGCACCACCAATGTGACTCTCCTTTAGCCCCCTACAGCTAGGCAGAGAAGCCATTATAAAAACACCTCTTTTTTTCCACACCCGACAAGGCAGAGAACCCAACTCCTTTTGCTTCCTCCGGAAGCAGACAGAGAACCACGATCACTTGCTGAAACTTACCTCTCACAACCCTTCCAAGGATAAGAGACTCTAGGGAAGAAGAAGTGGAACAATGCTTAGAGCAACCCTTGTAAACCCCCTCACAAGCTCCCCCTCACAAGATCCTCTCTCTCTCTCTCCCTCTCTCTCTCTCTCTCTCTCTCTCTCTCTCTTTTAGGTTTTCTCAGGTCAAGATAGCAGCCAAGGATGTTCAAAAATGTTGAACAAGAGCTCTTAAATAGAAGATCTTTAAAGGAGCTCATTAATTACAAGTTGCCAACTTTATCGTCTATGACGATATGAACATCATCCTAGCCGATCAGTACAAATCTCATAAGATCGGCCAGAGCATCGCCTTGAATGCAAACTGGATGATTGAAAATTTGCTTGATCGTCCCGGACGATATCACGATCGTCCCAGCCAATCAGTTCAATTCAGAGAAAAATTGTCCAGAGCATCGCCCTGAATTTGAGCTGTCCGATCCAAATCGGCCAGGAGCAACCAAGGGTTTTTGAATGGATCGTCCAGGACAATCTTGCGATCGTCCAGGATGATGTGATCGTATCAATCATCCTAAATTACTCTCATGATTTTCATATCAATTTAGGCATAATTATACAATATCTTCCAGGCCGATCAAAGAATCTTCCTGACTGATTTTCAAAAATACAGAATACCTAAATTGATCATGGCATCAATTTCTTTCTGTATTGAGCATATCGTCCTGGCCGATACAGGTATCATCAAGGCCGATCAGTTAATTACGACTGCCTTAACTAAGAAATCCTGATTAGATCTTCTATTTTAAAGTCGATCGTCCGGGATGATGTGAGTAAAAACACAAGTTCTAAATCTCTCAAGTGTGTGTGTGTGTGTAGGGTTACTTAACATCAATCACTTCAAATAATTGCAATTGACTCAAGAAAGAAAAAAAATTATTACAGACTGACTCAACCCTAATCTACCCAATCTTGAGCTGATTCCGATTTCCGTCCATCTTTGAATCCTGAAAATGTCATTAGTAAAGGCAGTCAAAAAGAAGCAAGAGTGTTTGCTAATCATCAAAATATAATTCATGGAATCTGCAACAATTATTAGCATGAATCTAATTTTTTGGCCCAATCAAGAGGTTTTCTATGTAGTGAGGCAAAATAAGAGAGGTCCATTAAGAATTGTATGGGTTCATATTTTTTTTTATCTAAACTCAATTTTTGGCCTTTAGTCAGATTGTTTGTTAGAATTTGATGAGTTTGGGTTTTGTTGATCCAAGCATAATAGCCTTTTGGCCCAATCAAGATATTTGCTTTCAATAAGACAAAGCATATGTGACCGACTAAGATTTTTTGAATTGAGGTTTTGTTGATATGGACTCAATCTTTTGGCCCTACAAGCATGTTTGCTAGACAACAAGAAAACGCTTGGATGAGCCAACTGAGATATATTAAGTTTTAGTTTTGTCAGCCTAATTCCTATCATTTGAGCAAACCAAGATGCTTAGGTTTTGCTAACCTAATCCTATCTTAGATGAAGTAGGGATTCAAAATTTATAACGAGGAATAACATTTCTTCAAATTCCATTCATTTAAAGGAGGCATTGGATGCATACCTTTGTGATATATGACTTGATAAGCTACACAAGATTTTCAACTTTTGAGGAACTTTGACAAATCCTTGGACATGGTCCAAAGCCATATGTTCTCCCTAAAGTTTAAGATTTTATTTGGGTTAAAGCCATGTATCATCTAATTAAGAATCAAGTTCATCCACCCATAATCATGTATTATCCATATTGATCAATTTGTGATGAATTTTTACAGGTAATGAGAGAACTTCTGTCTTTAAAAGAAGTATTATTATTATTTTTTCTCAAATGCTAGAGCTTAAGGAGTGTATTTAATAACAATTTTGTAGGCTAATTGATACACCCACAATAGCTCAGTTAATTTTGCTTTATTTTAGAATTAGTTCTTAGGATTATAGGTCTCTAGGCATTAACATCTAATAATTTGTTATTGTTAACTATTTGACTTAGACAACTCATTTTTCTTTCATAATTATGTTGTTTAGAAATTGATTTATATGAAAGTTTTATATAAATAAAATTTTCTTAAGTGACATAATATCATATAATTATGTTGTTTAGAAATTTAGTTAACTATTTTATGGACAATATGATTTGAAAAAATATCAATTATCTCATTTAAACTATAATTTTTCATTTGAGTTCTAATAATTTAATATTAAAAGCCTCTTTTCCTTTTAAAAATGTGATAGAGTGAGATCTTTTATAATCAATCAAATAAAAGCCACATATAAATCTAAACATTTAATTTATTTGTAAGAAAATTATCTAAAATGTTTGAGAGGAAGTAATCCATAAAAAACCGCTTTTTATATTTCCTTTTCATTCATATTCATTCTACTCTTATATATCATAGTTTAATTTCACTTAGCTGATTTTTTTATTAAATTAAGAAAAAAAAGACAAGTAAATAAAAATTTTATTTTATTTTTTCACAGTTTTGTGTTATTCAATACTCTAAGCATTGTGAAAGAATTGGTAGCTCAGTAGCTAAAAATAAGTATTTCATTAAATCATAAGTTTGACTCACATTTTACGTCTTATACCATTGACCAATGGTAAATAATACTTTTAAATACAAATTTTAATATATATATATATATATCTGGGCTATTTTTTCCCTACAAGCATGTGCGAGGTGCAGTTCGTAGTCATAAGGCGATGGCCGATGGGCCCCACCTACCAAGAGCGGATTTGGAGACCGGCAATAAATAAAAACCAGTGGTAGATGCTAAAGGGAATATATTAAAAGCACAGTGAATAGCGACGGAAAATTGGTCAACATATTTTCATCAATTTTTTTTTCTTAAATAATAACAAGGCATTTAATTTTTTTATTAAAATAAATTAATAAAAATGTTTTTTTAAAAAAAAGTATATGAGAGTCGTTGAGAATGAATGCAATAGATCTTTGATTATCATCTGAGAAAATTAAACGTACTTTTAGTATGAATAATTTCTCATTAAACATTTACTTATAATTAAAAATATATAATAAGTACTACTTCATAAGTAATTTAGAAAAAAGGAAATTTGATTAAAAAAGATAGTATGGCCAAATTTTTTTTTATTATTATTATTTATGCCTATTTTACATGCTCCATGTATATTAATGAATAATAATAAGACATTAGAATTTTATGTGCAAAATTTAAAAAGAGAAAAAAATGAGATCTGATCTAGATGAAGCAATTCACTATATAAATATGTTATTGATAGAAACAGAAAGTAATAACAGATAATAGCATAATTGTAAGAATAGAGAAAATGAGCTCAAGTATGCATGTTTCATTAGCTGATCCATCTATACAGCACAGTATATATATATATATATATATAAAGGTAATTAAGTAGTATAGAGTTTGTTATAACAGAACATGTTCGAAGATAAGCTGGAATGCTAAAGTTGCTAAAGCATAATTGAGCACGTGCTGACTGGACGTAGCTGATGGCCAGCTGATGCCGTTAGCTCTATTTCCATAACATGCCCCGTAAAACTGAGGAGGCATTTGCTGAAATCAGTTTGCTAGAAAGAAATTAATTTGAACTTCTTGATAGGTAAGGACTTAGTAAAGATATCAGTAATTTGATACTGGGTAGCTAAATGATGAACAATAATTTGTTTAGTTTGAATGCAATCCCGGATGAAGTGGCAATCTACTTTGATATGCTTGGTTCTGGCGTGAAAAACAGGATTGTTGGCAAGCGCAATTGCCGACGTGTTGTCACAATATAAGGGTGTGGGAGCTGTTTGAGGAATGTTGAAATCTGAAAGTAAACGTCGGAGCCATATAATTTCAGATGCTGCAGTAGCTTAAGCTCGATATTCAGCTTCAGTCGAGGATCGAGCTACCGTTGATTGTTTCTTTACTTTTTAAGAGATGAGTGAATTTCCAAGAAAATTACAATAACCGGAGACCGATTTGCGGTCTTGAGAGTCACCGGCCCAATCCGAATCAACATAGCCGTGAAGGTCCATAGAGCCTCGATACAATGGAAGACCATAAGTAAGTGTACCGTTGACATACCAAAGCAACCGTTTAAGTTGTTTAAAATGAGTCTGAAGTGGAGTATGCATATGCTGACAAACTTGTTGAACAGCAAATGCAATATTAGGGCGAGTCAGCGTCAAATACTGTAATGAGCCAGCCAACTGTTGGTAGAGAACAGGAACAGAGAAGTGTGGCTGATTTATAGAATCTGCAGCAGATTTTGGTCTACTTGGAGTGGAAACAGATTTGCTATTTTCCATACCAGCTTTGTGAAGAATCGTCTGAGCATGCTGAGTTTGATTTAAGTGCAGGCCATAGGGAGAAGTAGAGACTTGAACACCTAAGAAATGTGAAAGACAGCCAAGATGCCGCATAGAAAATTTTGATTTCAAGCTGGTAAGCAAGCTGTCCAAGGTTACTTGATCATTGTCGATCAATAGAATGTCGTCAACATATATTAAAATATAAAGAATTTTGGAATTGGAGTGATACACCATTAACGAAGGATCGGCTGCACTAAATTGAAAACCAAACTGTTGAAGATGACTAGACATTGAGGTTCTGATCAATAAGAACCCAGGTAGTATACTGAGAATTTAAGATAGGAGAGCCGCTCAAATCAGAAATAAATTTGTCTGGACACTTAGCAGTGCCATCAAGAAAGCCTTCACAGCCATTTGCACGAAAAAGTTTGGCAACCTGTGATCTCCATGTTGGATAATTTTCTGACGTCAACTGATTAGCAATGATGTTCTTCACAGTTGACATCAAAAATTTGAGCTGAGATGGAATAGTAGCTTCCAGCATTCCGCAGTTGCATCTGCTTTGGCTGGTTGAACTGTTGAAGATGGTGAAGATGAACTCATAATGGAAATCAGGATACTACTGCTCTGATACCATGATAGAAACAGAAAGTAATAACATATAATAGCAGAATAGTACGAATAGAGAAAATGAGCTCAAGTATGTTTCATTAGCTGATCCATCTATACAGCACAGTGTATATATATATATATATATATATATATATATATATATATATATAGCTAAAGGTAATTCAGTTGTACAGAGTTTGTTATAACAGAACATGTGCGAAGATAAGCTGGAATGCTAAAGTTGCTAAAGCATAACCGAGAACGTGCTGACTGGACGTAGCTGATACCATTAGCTCTATTTCCATAACAGTTATAAGAGCCTACTCTTTTCTTTAATTGGAGAAGAGGATTACAAAGTATGTCACATAGATTTGTAGTTCTATAAACGTTCAAGAACGATAGAAATGGAGCAGTTTGATGGCGTTAGTCAAATCTTATTGAATGGATGACATTGTCAAAGTAATAATAATTGGATGGAGAAAGTGAACTGATGATGAAGTTGAATGAATTAAGATGACCATGTAATAACTATTGGATGATGTTAGTCCGGATAATGGCTGTCAGAGGTCGTCATAATTGAAAGTCAAGTAAATCTCTGAAGCTCTCTCCAAATTCAAATTTAGTTATTATTTTATGTGAAGAATAAAAATCTTTTTATAATAATTTTAAAATAGGCATTTTGATAAATTTAGTCAAAATTTTTATAACACTCCAACAAATGATGATTATTAATTTTTAGATCATAAAATATTTATTTATCATTTAAGTGCTTTAACGGCCTCATAATTTGGTGATCTTAAATTTGTCTCGGTGTTTGTTTTGATTATAAGCATATATGATTAAGAGAACATTTGATCATTTAATTAATAGACAAAGTTTCTAATTATTACTCATCAAGTGCTTGATTTAGAATTATTTGAAGTTTTTTTGAATCATCATCATTAGTGTTATTGGATTTATTTCATCAAGATAATAATTTAACTATAAATTTGTTGAATGATTAATTTAAATCAAAATATTTTGAAATATTATAATAAGATTCATGTTGATCAAATAGAATTTTTTAAACCATATCAATTATTTATATAAAAGATATATTAATTAACTGATATATTTCATATTTCATTATCAAAATAATCTTTGACATAAAAAAAAAAAAACATATGAGTTTATATTTTATAGTCCATTAATTAAATTTTTATACAACGAGAAATAAATTTAAAATGTGTGATTGCAATTTTTATAATTGAAGAAATAAATTTTTTTAATCCTCAATTCATGAATCCTTTAATAATTAATAGGAATTCGATAAATAAAAAATAAAATAAATAATTTTATAAATAGTTATAATATGAATAGTATGTATAAAATTACCTATTATGAATTAATAAGAAAAATTCCCCAAAAAAAAAAAAATAATAATAAGAATAATATTCATGAAAATTTTATTTAATTCATAAATAACGGTTGTTGGTGGGTGAATTAGCATATTCTGCACGCCAGCCTTTACAGGTAGCCAGTGCATGCGTAGCTGGTCAAAGTTTATAGTTAAGTCTTTAAGAGACTAGAAGATTTGACGTCCAGTTCCGTACGTTTGATTTTTGACTATTACTTTGTTTTATTATATTTTATTCTCCAAATCAAAAAGAATTTTCTGGTCGGTTCCACCGTCCTTTTTGGCGGGATATTTGCAAACATAGGGTTGCAAAAAAACAGGGACTTCCTCTCAAATTGCATTAAGACAAATTGGTTTTTTGTTGATATTATGTCTATTTATAAAATTGACATGGTATTGAAATTCATTTTGATTGGATGCAACACTTTGATGCAACACTTTTTTATTTCAGTAAATTTATAGTTAAGCAAAATTTCTAGATGAGATGAACCTAATGATACCTATAGTGATTTAATCTGAGTTCAAATGAGCACAATCAAACACTTATAGTTAAATCGAGTGTCACGATAAAATGAATGCAATGAGCCCAACATTATTTAATTTTCATATCATTAAGGTTCATAAATGTTGAAGAAACGATTTATGAATTAATATGAGTTATCCAGTGGAGTGTTCTAATTTTTTTTTATATTTACAGGGTATGCCACTATTGAAATCCATAAATAGGCTTTAACCTTCTACATGAAGTGGGCTTGGAATGAGGACTGTAGCTTGAGATTCAAAAGACCTTAAAGTCTCTGAGAACCTAGGTGCTTCACTTGAGCACCATCACAAGGCGACCTTCTGATCGGCCATCTTCAAACCATCGCGTGACTACATTATCAAAATACCCACTTAATTATTGCCATTAGACCACCACATGATCATCATTGTTAGACCACCACTATAAGATACACCCTGATCACCACCATCGAAGCGCTACCCGATTGATGCCATCTAGCCACTATCGTCGACTATAATCATATGTCCCCTATCACCCAATGATGATCCTCCAACTTGCAAGGACTATTGTACCATAAATTAGAATGCTTGTGATAACCTAAACTGATATGATAAGCTTGAAATGTTAAACTCAGCATCTTATGTGAATGTTTCTGAATGATTTTCTACATTATATTAGTTCTAAGGAGTTATGTGTGTGAACATATGCATGTGTACGTGTGAAAACTCTTTAGAAGCATTGTGAAATTGCTTTTTAGGCATTACGATGCTACCTTTTCTTCTTTTGGATTAGAAAAAGAAAGTCCCTCGAGGCGTTGTAGTGTTGGGTCTGAGCATATTCTCTATATTATGGTCTGTTTAGGAAAAAAGGAAATCTCTGGGGTACTACGCGGCCTTAAATGTAAAGTTATATATATTTATGTGATGCCTTGTTCTATTTATATTTGTTGAAAGTGTTGATCTTTTGTAATTTTGAGATTGAATATGTGTGAAAGAAAGAAATAATGTTAATAATTTATTGATGTTCATGTGTATCCAAGTGGAGGTATAAGGGCTTGAATAGTGAATGAATGAATGAATAATAATATACATTGGGAGTCACAATGGCTTGATATTATTATGTCATGTATTGAGAGTCATAAGGGCATGATATTGATGGGTTGCATAAAGATTCATAACTTGTTGCAACACGAACTAGATTTGAAGAATTATTTATTTCATCTCTTAATTAATCTACTAGAGTTTCTAATAATTCATTAATATAGATAAGTCTAATTAATTTAATTATCAATCATATACATCAAAATATTTCTATATTCATTCATCAAAATCCAATTTGTAATAGCTAGTAGATCAATCACTACATCCATCACTCTATCCTCCTATACTCTTGACTACAAAAGAATAAATCAAAATAGAAAAAAATTAAATAAATTTTGAATCCTAATCTTTCTCAATCTATTGGATCCTGACCCCTTCCTAAAATCATATAAAAATAAAAGAGTGAGTTAATATCTCAGTAGGCTACCAAGACATACAATTGAAATAAATACAAGGCAATAAAAATAATATACATGCAGTTATTCATTCCATATCAATATGAACATATAATTATAAGATCATGTAGCAGTCAATAGAAAGTATCATTTCATATGAGTAGTAAAAATCATTAAAAGTAATATAATTCAAATTTAGTGGTCAGCAAAAAGTAGATATATAAAGGATTAGTATATTTTGTTATTCCTATACTCATGTTAAGTATAAGGCAAAAGGTCTGTTATGAATCTATGCATATTAATAAATTATACTTTATTTCATTCTATATGTTATTCCTTATATATGAGTATGCCTGCCATATTAAGCCAGTGAACATATGTTATATGCATGTCATACAACATCAAGTATCAATATATGTATATCATATATTTCTTTCATATACAAAATAATATGTATATCATATACTCCATATGAATTATGTGTCCATATATCAATATAATTAATCTTATCAGTCATATCATGGGTTTGTATCAAGCATCTCCTGTGTCATATATGAATCATATTATATCATGTTACTTATATAATTTGTCATATCATATACATACACCAAGATAGGACATTTGACTACATGTAGTGTTTTTCTTATATCTGGTATTGTAGGCTAATCATGAAGAATTAATCTCAACATATCAATCTTATTTCCATGAATTAGTCTTCTATCATGTGTCATAAATCTAGTGGCTTTCATATAAGAAGTTGTCACTTCCTACCTGTCGACGTATCATATCATATAAGTTAGTCTCCTTATTTCTATCTTTTCATATTATATAGGATTATACCACAAATATTATTTAAACGAAAGCGTCTCAGCCCACCCTCATGTATAGAATAATATCTCCAACTAATTTAAATCAGTCAATTATTTTCGGCTAGTTTTTCTTTCTCTTACACCATTTTACATCATATAGATTATAATAAAAAATATCATATACACCAAATATAACTATCATTATACTCATTAGGATGCCCACATTATGCCAATATTTCATGTTTAATTAAATGAATAATAAATGTATGTATAAAATGTATTTCTTGTCCATTTATACTATTCTAACTCCTAATCATTTTATAATCAATATTATACTACTCGTTTTAATTAAAAACAACATATAAGCAAAATCAATTTGTGAAATATCAATATAAACTAGCCAAAATATTTTAGGGAATG